AATCCGGTTCCGTGCAGGTTTGATTCGATGCTTTCGATCACAGTGCGTTTAGTTTCGTCGAGGCCTCCGACATCAGCCCAGGACACGGTGGGAATCTTCAATGTAAAAGTTCGATGTTTCATAGAAAAGTTGTCTCATTTAACTGATGACGACGAATTAACAATTTTGGGAATATCTGCAACATCTTAATTTTCCCTTTGTAATTTTCGCAAATTCTATTTTTATGAAATAAAGTCGTCGTCTTTCTTTTTTTGTAAATTCTGGGAGTACCTTCGAAGCTCCAGTAGCATTTTGTAAATTTCGCGAATTATATTATCATGAAAGAAAATCGTTCGTCTTTTTTTGTGAATTCTCAGAGTACCTTCGGAGCTCCAATAGCGTCCGCAAAACTTGAATTCCGCTTGTCAATTGCCCATTCTACATGGCAGAGCTGTAAATGCTCAGCGTTCTGCGTTGTCATTCGAAAGTGTGTGTCCTTTATTAGGTTGATGAGTTCCGCAATAACGAAGCCCTGCAATCGGAAAAGGGTTTTTACATACATAGAGAGATGCCAAAAATGTCTAATCATATGATTTTTCCAGTACCGATGTGTTTCTCGCTGCATACTTGGCCATGTCAAGTGGCAAACGGGAAGACAAAAAGAGGAGGCGAGCGTCTTCATCGAGGTGTTCAATCAGAAAATCATAGAGAATAATTGATTGAATAGATGAAGACAGCTGACAAATCTGGAGGCAGAACAACTGATGATTATTTAAGTGAGAATACCTATTTATTTGCATTTAACGTTGCAAAAATGAATTCATTGAAAAATCTCTCCAATTAACTCAACAGTCCACTGTACAGCTCAAACCGCAGAATAAGGGTACGAAACTTTGAATAAGTTACTGAAATCAAAACAACCTTTTCAGAGTTGCAAGAGAATATTACAGTTATCTGTATGGGCTTATCCAACCACACTCGTAATGCTGCCATAATGCGAGAGTCTGGAAAAAATTCTACTAAGTTCAATCCGAATGCATCACCTTCAATGTATCTAAGAAGTCAAAGTCTGAAGTTTATTTATACTATTTTGTGATCTCAAATTGCTGCATTGTAGGCAGCTTTTGACCTCATGAACATTGTATCTCACACATCACTGCGATCACTCGGGATTGACTGATTTCAACGTGCAATTTTTAATGCCATAATTTGAATAATCTACGCTCGTGCTGCACGCATTTTTTACGCTACGATTGCATAGTATACCCTTACTCCACTCACAATCTTTTTTCAAAACATTCACCTAGTTTTCCATGAAAGCGATAATCGTTGGAAGGCAATCCTTAACTTGTTGCGAATATAAGTCATAACTTAGACACCATTTCTTTTCTTTTGCTTAATATATAGCGTACTTCCATCTATCCCTAAGACAATTCAACCGCGGCTGCCGATCTCGCTGTTTTTGGA